AAAGTTAATTATATTTGAACAAAATAACAGAGAGGATCCATGAAATTCAATAACAACGGTCTTTCCCAACGAGAAGTTTCAGTTCCTTCTCGGGAAACTCGCATGCATGTGTGTTTGTATGAGTCTTGTGTTTGCATGTGCACTGAGGAGGTGTATTTCCGCTATAATGGAGCAGTGTTTTCTTTGTTTGCCAGAATGAAATGTTACAGAATACTGCCAATATATTGATGTAATATATTTTTACAATTTTTTTGCTACATAGTTAACTGCTCCACCATAATTTACTCAGCTAAGCTATTCAGATTTCATTGTGGATCGAATTCTTTAAATATTGTAATAATTCTTTCGCTTCAAACTGAATCGTAGGCAAACACACACATACACGCACGTACACATACATGTACATACACACACACACACGCACATACACACACATACAACACACACACATACGTTTCTACTTCGTTTAAACATAATGAAATTTCGACCTCGCAGACAGTCATGTCTGTTTCGTTGTCGCATGCTTCGCTGTTTTTTAAAGTACTAACCTCTGTCATGCAGTTATCTATTCAGATGATAAAATACCAAGGACTTGCAAAGGTAAAGAAAGGAAGTGATGGAGTAAATCATATACGATTTAAGATTTTGTGAAGTCAGCAAATTCTTTTTGTTTGTTATTTTTCAGAAAAGTCGCAGCAGGCGATCGGAAGTGACTTTTCATAAATTTAGAGTAATCTTTGTATACGAAATGTCACCATAGAAATATTAGCCGTTAGAAAGCCATTCAAAAATTTGTCCTAAAGTTATTGAGTCAGGCAGAATTGATTGCTTTACCAGCAAATTGGCAATGTTGCGCTGCATAACTACATAAATAGATTAAAAGGTCACAAAAAACAGTTGATAGCATTACTTGCCAGTGGTTTTGGTCGAAATATGCGTTAAATTTATGACATATTGATTACAAATTTCAAGTATTTTCACCAAGCAGTCTGTCTTCATGACTAATTATGATTCACTAGGTGGATACATCAGGTAATCACTGTCGAACCGAAGTTTAATTTCACGATAAGTAGCATTAGTCTTATATAACCAAATAGATCTAATACTGTCTACTTACAGTTAGAAGTTTGTCATACACAAGCAGTCACACTCGAATTTAAAATAAATAATTTCAAAATTCGAACAATTTGATGATACAAAAATGAATGTATCTCATACATTCAAAAGCAAATCCAAGAAAATAAACCGGCCATCAGGAATCCTTCAATTAATTGATTTATACAAATCCATTCATTCTACACGTTTATTTGTTTCAGTACATAACATATGAGAAATAAGCGATATTTTCTTTTCTGAAAAATACTCTTATAAACAATAAGGAAGTATGTTTTATACGTCAAGTTCTTACGTAGAACCCGAAATTCTGCTTTGAGTAGAAATTTGCAAAAGTAAAGATTGAAATAAAATTTTTCACAATTTTGGACCTGATGTCAATCATTCAAATGGTGTTATTGGGTGGTCAAAATGACTGGTGATAATTATTATTCTACTTCTAGCTCAATTTACTTGATGTTCGTGTTTAGTAAATGACAGATTCTCATACAGTACCTAATGTGGACATCTCATCGAGTGTGGAAGCAAGGCAGTGTCAAAAACACAGTAGATAGATCAACAGACTGGTGTAATTGTGTGAACGGGTTCTGTGAAGTAGTTCTGCAAGTGTGTAATACCACTGTTGATATCAGTGCGTGCATACACTGGAAAATATTATATCGATAGCAGTGCATTTTTCCAATCGTTTGGTTGTTTGCTTCTATAGTAGATTTACCACCTGATTACGTTGACCTATCCATCTATGAAATTTTTCATTTCTTCATAATACTAGTTACACTGTTAATAAAAAATGATACAATGTGAGTTATTTAATATCACTTCTAATTTAAATATGCTCAATGGTGCAAACTCTCTATCATTGAACAATTTCCATTTTCTACAATTTCATCCTTACTGTGGATTAGGTTGTTAACAAGAGAACCACTGCCAGAAAGTGGAGCTTCGATAAATTATAAATTAAACTATGTACAGTGCCAATCATATTCAAAATATGTTTGCACTTTTAAATCCTTAATTCATTTGGAGACCTCAAAGAAACTAGAAAATTGAAATATGTTGAGAAAGTAAAGATTTTGAAAGACTTTAAAAAAAAGGAGTAGAGAAATTTTTTAAATTTTCTGCTAGCAAAAGTAGTTCCAATTATTCAGGTAAGATAGACTTTGATTGTCATAGAAATTTTGGGAAATTTCGTATTTCCAACCATCCATTTTATCTTTATCATTTTAGTTATCAGTATTTTCCTTCTAACGCTATATCGCTTCTATAAATCACCAACTATGCTGTAAGCATAGGCCGCTGAAGTACAACCATTTGTACCTGTTTTTGATTTTATCGCTCGAATTGCCACTAAATTAGATTGTTACTATGCTTTCTATTCATTTAAAGATATAATTTATTACATGTATTCGCCTTTCTTACATTGTTAGTTTAATTGAAAAGTAAGTAACGCACAAATGGTAATATTCCTTTTTTATCCAGCAATAAATTTCTCGCAAATATGATTTATACCAGTAGTCAGCTTGTTTTTAAATATCACTCACTACCTTCATATACATTTGAATAGAAATTTTTGAAACTTCAAAAAACCACATTTCCAATTTTTTAATAAACAATTAAAGAATTTAATAAGTTCAAGGAAATTTTCGAATTTTGAGTAGTTTGCTGATCAGTAATGAAAGAGCTTAATGGAGTATTAGCTAACCAGGAATGGTACTTCTAGTATCATCGCCGCTGACTATCAGTAATCATTTTATAATCATATTTACTATGGTAAAATATGAAATTTATGTAGCTCCGCAGATGTTCTGAATCAGGATTATGGATCTTGAAGATCCTGATCCGAGATCTAAGCCAGGAATTAAGAATTTATTGGACAGTTTTCTTAATTCATTCATTATCATCAATCATCGGCGAAAACAATACATCTATTTCAATATTTGCAAAAAAATTGGTATTGGGCCGCCCACAAATCCTTTCTCATTATTGATACATCAGTAATTTAAACTTAGAGTAGCAATCGCCGTTCTATGATGTTTAGAATTGTTTTTAAGGCAGTTTCTCCATTTCCAATAATGGACAGTCCTGTAATTTAATCCCTCACACACATATCCAGCATGACAATGTTAATTATTCTGATTTTAATCTGCTTCTCGATCCTCTTCCAGTCAAATTCGTTGCTCATGTTTCCACAAGGTTAGCTTTTTATTTCCTGCTGAGTAGTTTTACAAATATATTTTAGCAACCTTACTAAAATGTCTTCGGAACTCATGCTCCAATTCTTGGCTGTTCAGTATGATTTCTTTTTAATGATAATTTAACAGGACTGTATGCCAATTTCTTAAATTTTAAATTCTATGTGCAACTGTACCCGAAATTTCAGCTGAAACTTAAATGAAAATTTCGTAAAAATTATCTGAAAATATGCCGCTTAGATTCCTAAGAACTTTAGTGGAATTTCCAAGTGACTGTATGCGAGCAATGTGTGAAGCAGATTCAGGATGTGTTCCAAAAGGTTGCGACGAGGATATTCATGGAAGGTATGGATGCGGCTATTTTCGACTCAACATCTATCACTATAAAGTATGGGAGCTTGTCTCAACTGAAAAACTGTCATTTCCTTACTTAAAATGTGGTGGTCGTTTCCGCTTAGTTTGATCCATCCAGCTTTAAACAACATAAAATGGATTCTGTCATCTACTAATTCTAAATACCAATTTAATTGAAAGAAATGGAAAAGATCTCGACATTCTATTATCGATGAAACTTTCGACCTTTTGCTTTATCCATTTCTTCATGTACATTTGGGAATATCTATATCTTTTATCAAAAAAATTATGATTTTTGTCGATCAGAACGGCCTTTTTTACAAACGGAGAAATTGATCTGAATTAGAATAAGTTAATAATTCACATTACAGCAGTGTTATCAACCGGGTAAAGAAGATGATCAGGATGAAGAGGAGGCATGGTTAACGTGCGCCGAAAATTATGAGTGCTCTCAGGAATGCCTACGGGTAATTCGATTTCCTTTAACCTTCATAGGTATTAAGCATTTTCGGAAGTTATATTTTGCTATATGGAATTTCCCTTAGCTATCCTTTAACGAGAATATCGGTAAAAAGAGATAAATCTTATTTCCCCGGTTCCGTACGAATCATATTTAACACCCCCTATATTTTGTATCTTAAAACTTACTGAAAAAGTACACCTAAATCGCATCTTTTAATTACTGCAGTATTTTTTAGAATAAGGATAAATAATTCATTCCAAATTGATAGATTAGGAGATTCGTAGACTTATTAATCTCTATTCACTGAATTAATTAATTAAATGGAAACGAAGAGAGGGTAAAGTGTATCGCCACTTGTATGCAGCTTCTTTTGCTTCGTAAGTTTCGTTTTTTTCCGCACATGATCATTCAATTTTTGAAAACTTCCGTTTAAAAATGCCACATTTCTTCTGCTAGCCTGCTAGTTCCCTTTTGAATGCTTTCATTAAAAAAACAGGAATGTCGAATAACACTTCTAAATTTCAGCGACTAAGTAATCGTTATAAAGTGAAATGCTACGGGAAAAGTGATTGCGAAACTCTAGCAAGAATTCATGATGGCGGTGCTAACGGTTGCCGCTCCAAAGATACATTGCCGTATTGGAATATTGTAAAACAAAAATGTCCACACTGCTGAAACCTGTGAATTCTATGTAAATATGTGACGGTACTTACAAGTTGAGCAAAGTTCAGAATTTTTTATTTCGATATTGTTTGAATTCCTGATGTCTTTCTTTTTCAACCTGCAAGAAATATGTTTACTGGTAGGTACTGCATTATCATCTGATTCCCAGTTTGTTCGCGGTTCGACAAACTGAACATGCACTTTCCTTCACCAATTTTGTTTATTTTATCTAAATTGAATATGGATTGGTAGGTACTTTTGTCTTCAACGTCTTACATTCGATGAATCTTTGGTGTACCGTATAAAATATTTCAAAAGGTTTCTTCTGCTTTTTCACTTCATCTAAATAGATCTGCGATGACAAATTACAAAAGAAATTTAAATTCCAATAAATAATTATACGCATAAGTTATCATGATGCGGATTATTCACATGTTATATGATACGTACTAATTAAACTGAGTGCAGGAGCACTCAGTATCACCAGCTAGAAGCATTTTGAAGAATAATGAAATAAATCACGTGGTGCTCCAAAATGACTTTGCACATCATGTTAACATATGCCCGTATTATTCGTACTCCTTCCGTATCCATTTTGTAATTTAATTTTTATACATTTATAACGTTTATAATTTTATAATTTTATACATTTAATTTTTTTATACATTTATACATTTATTTATACATTTTATACATTTATTTTTATACATTTTTATACATTTATAATTTTTATACATTTATAACGATGGAGACGATATAGTTTGTAACTGCATCCTAAATAGCAAGCTTGATTGGTATGTTTAAAAGGTGCCAACTTCTAGTTGTACTTATTAGGTGGGACCTTCATCCATCATCATAACCTACAGGTATTAAATTTAGTGACAAATTCCAAAATCTGTGCGCATTTGTAGTGATAATGAGGTTTATTTACTTCAGAAGTGAAGTAGTTTTGGTGTCCAGTCTAGATCAAAATAACTTTAATGAATAACTACTAATATTATAAATTCAAAATGAAGCAACTCTTTTTTGAAAAAAAAATCTTACTTTAAGGTAAGAAATGTATGTGCCAAGGTTCTCTACACCGATACATCCATTAGCTTCCATCAAAAAATTACTGATGCCATCGAAACTTGTTATTCATATCTTAAAACCTCAGAAAATTATAACGATTCGGATTGAATCAAAAGCCGACAACTTAACGTAGTATGACAATTTTATGTCACACGGTTAATAATATGAACTATTTTGCAACACCAGATTGAATATATTTATATACCTTGCTTATAAACCCGTTTCATCAGTACTCCCTGCAAAAGTCCAACATTGCAATCTTGCTCATCCAATTCTCAAAACTTCACAAAAGTAATTAACCTAACCCAAATAACTAAGTACGGAATATAATGCACGAAATACTCCAAACCTGCAAAACATGATATATTCGCATCAATTTTTACTGTAAATAGAAACATTTAAAAAAAGCTGCATTCATAACAATTTTTTCATTCGTGAGAGTATAGATGTTCCGACTACAAGGTGGCATTCGGCTATGATTCAAAAAGAACAAGTCGGAAATGGGAAGAGTATTAGATATGAAGTATGCAAACAATTATAACAAATTCTTAATCCAACGTAGATCCAACAGCAACGGCTTATCGGCGAATTATCTTTATTTGAAATAGATTTTGCTACTGCAACAATTTAATATGTATAAAACCCAATTCGCTGGAACTAACATTCATCCTTTCGGAAAAATCATCCATATTTTAAATCGTTATTTCTTTGTTGATTACTCAAACGCATCTCGATCGCTCTTTTTACGTCTAAGAGACATCAGCAGTTCTACCGTTATCCCCTAACATCCAGGAAGTTCAATCTCTTATCCATAGCTTTCCACTCTCAAGAGAAGTACTGTTTTGCCATTCCAAACGGCCGATAACATCTTGTGAAAATACCGAAAGATATTAATGACATATTGTTAAGGAAACTGTAAGAAACAAGGCGATGAGGATTCGGGAAATCGCAACAAAGTTTTAAAGAATATTCAAAAATACTGAAAAAAGAGGAAAGAACATAAAAGACTATGCGCTCTCACTCGGAACAACACGCCTCCTCAGTAATGAAGCGACTACAAGTGAAGAGCGAGTTCCTTTAAAAAAGGTCTCACGGCATCAGTCGTCGAGCAACATTTCAGTAACCTACTTGTTTGGTTCTGGGTGATACGGAGAGCCTAGCCTTAACCAACCAACATTTCATAGCCGTGAGATTTTAAGATCTGCTGTACTAAATTCAAATACTAAATATCGCACTTCGGCGTCTCTGCTTGCAGCAACAATTGGACCAATACCTCTGAACATGCGCAAGATGGACTACCATTCATTATCTTCAAGAAACAGTTCGCTGGTACTAAGAAACAAGTGAGGCTATTATTGCTCTTAAATCCATTTTTTTAACCCATTAACAGTTTCCGAAATCAACAATCGGACTAGCTCGTAGAGAAATATGTCAGGAGTTCGAAATAATGAGACTTATTTTTACAAACATTTTAAAGCACTGAATTTACTGTCTTTTTTTCGATTATTTACATAAGGAAAAAAGATTATAATCAAAGCACATTTTCACAACCAGAAAATCATTTATATTTACAAAAACAATTCAGTTAAAATATTTTACAGACATAAATATTACATCCTCTAATTATTTTCAGATTACATTGATACTTTGAACATTTTCATTGGCACTGCTTATCCTAATCCTATATCAGAAAACAATAACCATCCAATGAAATTGTGGCAATAGCAACACCATCCAAATTTTCATCAGATCCAAAGCAGCTATGAATTTCAAAACTCTCTATAATGGTAAATATGAATATCAAAGCAATTTGAAAAAAGAAAAAAATGTTATATCCTAAAAACATTGCGAAACAGTACATCAAACCCAGCCACATCAACTGCCTAAACACCTTACTTAGACTAGATAGTAATACTTCTATAAAAGCTGCAATATTTCTAAAATAAAAATAGGAAATTTGTCTTAATATTTTTCAAAAAATTCTTCTGACTACAATAAAGCCGCATGTCGCATATATTGTACATGTAGAAACGATGGAAAAATTGTGGAAAACCAGAAATAAACTTTAAAATGAGGGATTTATATTCAGTTGAAGCACTGCATAATCCAATGAAGTCAATACACGATATAACCATGGAAGAAAACATTACTGTCAAACCACTTTACCTAAACTAATGGATCGAAAGTTTAAGTGAAACTGTAAACCACTTGCAAGCAAACATTCATATGTCAAAAATATCAATTATATGCTCTTTGCAAATCTGCTAAATTCACAGTTGCCATCAATTCTTTCAACACTTTCCTCCATACCTTAAATTTGAATAAAACTTACAATCAGAATTATTCAAAAGCTGACTTTTGAGCAATCGCACTTCATCCAATCTTTTTGTAATCTGTAATATCACATAAAATTATAGAGAAAATGGAACTTCGAAAATCTTAATAGGTGAAGTGGTACTTTATCAACTGAAATTTTAATGAGTTACATAATAGAAAACGTGTTAAGTTTTAGAAAATGTCACAAAAGTTACTTGAAATGATTCATTAGAGAGAGTATACAAGTCCATCTTAATTTTATTTATTTTCGCAGTAATATCATTCAAACTGTTTGCCAGTGAACTTTCTTCTGCCACTAGTGCCCACATTTTCCTTAACTGCAATACATATAAAAAATCTATGTCGTGTTATTGCCCGTTTATCTTTAGCGCACAATTATTAAAAGTGGAGCAAATATAACAACCTTAGTGTTATCCTTTGTCACATTAAAATCGCGGCCCTCCTGAACACTATCACTGACACTTTTTCTTAAATCCTGCAATGTCTCCGTTGCTTCAACAGTGCTAAACAATGGTTAAGAATCCCTACTTTTTAATCAAGAAATACTGATTACAAAGGTCGGTATTTATGACAACTTATTACAACCACTCTTTTCCAAATATCTTGCAAGCAAAAGTTTCGCTCAATTTTTTGTTTTATAAGACTAGTTTTAGAACATCTTTAAAGTTCAACTCTCTCTTAAAAATGAAACTGAATGCTGGATTATTTCATGCATTTTTAGATATGCAAGCAATACAGAACGCTACAAAATGATTTTGGTACAAAAATTGATGTATGATGCATTTAACTTAGCAGTGACCAAAGAGTCCTTAGGTAAATGAAATTACAAAAATAATTATAACAATGGTTCGCTAATGGCGTATACATATCGTTTAGGTTAACATAAACTTCAATGCATTGACTCTATGGAAAAAAATTACTATTGAATTCATTTGATGACGGAAAACCGAAGGAACGAAAAAAGCAATAACCTGATTAGCACGAAAATAGGAGTTCGCAGCTGTTTGAAGTAAAGCTTTTTCTACCAAGGATTCCACTTCTTTCCTGATTTCTATCTCCGCAGAATCCTTAATGTCACTATTAAGTGACAATTCTTTCACTGTAAACAATAATTTGATATGCACAACAAAGATTCAGAACACGATCTCAACATAAAAGCTAATGCATGGTAACATATCTATCAAAAGAAACTACTGAACTACCACAACAAAATCATTTGATTAGTGCTTCATATCTATTCGTTTGATTTCTTTAAAAAAAAGTTAAATATGGAAAACTTCGTCTCACAGCGTGAGGAAAGCGAATGATGACCTGATTGCAAGCGGACCAATTTAAACCATCATACAGAACAGCCGTTGCAATAAGGAGAAAATGCGGACGTTTGGTGATGCAGAGTTTTAGAAATAACTATTTTCTTTGTAAAAAAATAAAACTTACGATGATAACCTAAATTTGGATAAGTAATTGACGAATTACCGTTGCCTTTGTTGCTCATAATTTGCTGATTGTTTTTGTTAATCGCGGCAAGCGGTGGACTTTTAGTTGGAGAAGAGAATGGAATTTTCTTTGCATCCTGAAATATTTGACTAATCCATGTTTCTAACTTCGCACAGAACCTAGTAATGACTTTCCGATTTTTATCGCGACCATCTACATTACATGCTACTACGATAAAAGATTGAAAGTTCCTATAACAAATAAAATGATACAACAGCAATGTTAGAATGTCTCAGTTTTTTGTTTTAAAATTTGACATAACATTACTTCTTCTGAGAATCCCGCATGCTGTGCTACTTAAGACTAGTTTTTTAATATTATTTAGGGCAATAAATAGCTGAGTATAAATGAGCTTGGATTAACACATATGAGATGCGATTGCCACATCACAACGAAATAAGTTCAAGTAATTTACCTGTATGCCAAACTCAGAAATTCCGTAATCTAAATTTTTTTTTGAAGGAGTGCTTTTTTCCACCACCGCCTTACTCTCATTACTTCCGTATGAAGTTCCGCTTTGTTCGATTCCGTTTTTATTGAGATCACTCGAACAGAGATCAAAAAAACCTGTACAGATGACGGATTTAACAACAGAACACCGAGTTTTGAAAAGAAAATCGCCAAACGAAACAAACATGTCTTGAGAATGCAAGAAAATAATAAATCGAAAGCAAGAAAAAGTTCTGCAAGATAAATAATAATATAACGAAAGATTCGGAACAAATTTTTTATTTTACGATTTTATTTGGCTGGTAGCCAGTGTGTGTACATAGCCTTCTCCAAGGCGTTAGTAATAATTTAGAAATCAAAAGTTGGTCATATTGGAAAATAGATCAATTAAATTAAAACATACCTTGATTACATATTGGTAATACCTTTTTGAACGACAAATGGGGAGCCACTGGTGTTGCTTTCTCCGCATCCAACTTTTCGCTGTTGTCCATATGCGACTTCCGTGTCATTACACAATATTTTTTCAAACGATCCTTCAACATTTTCTGGCTTCGGTGTTTCAAAAATACGGGTTTACCTTTCATCGCCGCTTTTTCCCACCTAAATTATCTACGAAGTGTTTTACTAAGTTAATCAACACCAATGCCATAAAATGATCCAGTTAGTTCTGACCCTCTGGTAATTTAGAGAATTTAGAGATTGGTTTTTGAATAGCAAAAAATCTCGATCTTCTTATTATAATTACTAAACATGCCTCAATCAACTTTTTAAAAAGTAATGAACCGTAAAAGAAATATATTATTGCATACTCAGAGTTACGATTCAATGTTGTGGAAAGACGTGATGAGCAGATCACTCCCGGGAAACACTTATTTCCATTTCTAGAAACTTTGTCGCTCGCAGTAAGGGATGGTGTCATAGAAATCGTTTTTCCCATTAATAACACTGTAAAATTTTATGCGCAAAAGAGAAATATGGAATTTAAATGAAGAAACTTGAGGCAAATACAAACAAAACTGCATCATGTCCATCACAAATCAGCAGCAGAAAGTTAAGATATTTACAGACCTCTTGCATAAAATTTTATTTCTGAGATCGAATCTGAGCCAACGGTGTGGAGCTAGCAAGGACTTAATTTAAGGGATATATTTTGGAAGTTTCATTTCTGTCAAGCAGACGCACTCACGAGTTATTACCTTGCTAACTTGTACAGCTCAAATGAATNTTCTGAGATCGAATCTGAGCCAACGGTGTGGAGCTAGCAAGGACTTAATTTAAGGGATATATTTTGGAAGTTTCATTTCTGTCAAGCAGACGCACTCACGAGTTATTACCTTGCTAACTTGTACAGCTCAAATGAATCACTGATAGGTGGATCAAATAAATAGAAGTTATTGTCATTGAGCATCTCACTTAATATGTTAAATACCCGAATATGTTGTTTTAACTTGTCCCGTTTAGGGACAACTTAAACCATCACCAACATCTTCACCACGAAAAATAACCAAATACTGCCAATGATAATATATAAACAGAATAGAACCAACCTTTTTTTTTCGAGTCCATTTTCTTTTCTAGCTTTATGGATGGTTCTGTATCAGCTTTACCTTCAACTTTTCTTTTCCTTGGACTCGATGAACACGATCTGCGCAAATCGGGTTTTAAAGTGCATGGAGGTGCATTTGAAATTTTTTCACTGGACGAATCCTGCGTTGAATTAACATCAGATGGAAGTTTGGATATCAATGTTACTTTTGTTCTTTCTAATACAGCTTTCTCCAATAAATCTGATGAACTCCCACTTCGAACAACTGTCCTGCAATCAAAAATCACTGTAAAAATTATAAGAAATTTCTCGCAGCTATTAGCCCGACTAATGTTCTGCAATGCAACATTTTACAGAAATGTTTAAAAGTTAAGAGAACTTGAAATTTAGTTGTAATGGCATTATAAAATAAATATTATACGTAAAGTGGCGACCTAATAGGTGGCTTCAAATCTGTATCACTGTAGTTTCTTTTCAATGAACTCATAATTAATTCGTCCTTCTTCATGCAACGCGTATTAGGCACTTTGAACGAAAAATTGGCACCCTCTGTGCGATCCCCAGTTTGCTTAACCTGTTTAAAAAAAACTATTACAGTAATACGAACCATATATATATATATATATATATATAATGATTAGCCAGAAGAGTAATTTACTGTTACGATAAGATTTTGGGAAACGATTTGGGCGCAAACTTCATGAAAAAAATCCCCGACTTACCTTTTCAAAAGAAGGATGTTCCTTGATAGTGGACTCAAAATAACAGTTTTCCAGAGTCGTTTTTCGACCTACTGGTTTCGAAAGGGTCATTCCACAGCTGGATCTCATTTTCGGCTCTTCACTGCAAAACAAATCACTGTAAATAACGATAAAATATCTTGAACCGTAAAAAGTATAGATATTTAATCTTGTCAAAAACAGAAAAATCACAAGTCATAAGTTATACCGACAAAACAAATAAGTTGGTGCAGCAGTAGAGTTTGCAATTGCTGTTGCTGCTGCTGCTGCTTCCTTCGCTGAGGCATTATTCCATGAATATTTCCGTCCCAAAGTACTCATTTGTTTCCATATCTAGAATTGAATTACAACAAACCTCCGGTAATGATTCATTGAAAAAATGCTACAGAGTGGGGAACTATTTATGATACTAATTCAGCAACTGTAAATATGCAAATTGGATGTCTGCTATTAGCATACCTGGCAAAATACTAGACGAAGCTTGCAATTAAACTGTCATCACCAAACAGCAGTTTATTTTGTACATTACCAAACAACAGTTTATTTTGCACATTATTAAAAGAAATTACATAAACACTATTAATTATACAGTTTTCAAGAACCTGTTATGAGGCCTACTTAAATCTATATAATGTATGGATCACTTGATTTGTTGAATGCTTTATAAAACTAAAGATTGCAATTTTAACAATTAGTTATATGTGCTGAATGATAGAGTAAAAACCTTAAAATTAATCTTTTAAAAGATACTTCAGAATTTAAGGAATGTGTTATCATGACTCATAACACTAAAATGTAATCGAAAACACCGTAGTTCGACAAGCTCCAGAGTTCATTTGAGATCGCTTTCCAGTGACATCTAGTATACTCAAGGTCCGACCTCATCACATCATCTGTTTTTATGGAAAAAGCAGTGGTGAACGCGGCCCCATTAAGATCGTGATTGTTGCCAAGGGCACGGAATGAAGTGAATTTCATTGCTTTTATTTGTAGCTTCACGTAATGTAAAAAACTCATGGAATATTTCAAAGTGAGTTTTTCCATCTATTATTTTTCTCCTCTTCCTTCATAAAAAGTAACGAGCTAAGGCTTACATGTCCACCGCGTTTGGACGTCTTGAAGCTGTCGAGTGTCAAAAATAAAGATAACCGGTCGCTACCGAATTTCGCAGTAAATATAAATAATCAATGAAAATTGCTCCTTTTTATATCATTAAAAAAAATCGATTTTTTGTATTAAAATGCATCTTTTCGTTAAAGTTTTCAAATCAATGAAAAATTTTTCATAAATCAAGTGAGTGAAAAAAAGATAATTTTTTGAAATTAACAAATGAAAAAAAAGATAAATTTTTTTTTTTTAGTATCTCACAACATATTCTATCAGTAAAAGTTGAAATCGAAAGTGAATTCCCATCTGCGCAGTTAGCAGGGAAAGAAATGCGCCATTTAGTAACTTACATAAACCCACAGTTCACAACATATCAAGTTTTCTGCGGTATAAAAGTGCAAATTGATGAAGTGAAATCCATGAGAATTGATTATGAATAACGCTGTCAATTATAGCACTCCCACTGAAAAATTGCGATACTTTGATTAATCTGGCCTCAATTCTCTTTCTATCCCAAATATTCTTCGATGAATAAAGAAAAAGTCATAAACAATATTATACTTTTTATTCAAAATCTAATTGCTTTTTTTTTAATGTAATTAATAAGGGCCAAACCTTACTGATTTCCTTTTTTTGCAATAATATTTTTCTGTTTCTCTTCGAAATAACATTTTTAAAAAATTCACAAATAAAAAAATAAAGACTTTGATCCTTGCTAATATCAAGTGATTCATAGTTCTCTGATCTAAAATGAATTCTTACTTTCAACTGTGAAAAGTTGAGCTAATGAAAATGTGGGATAGAAGGATTAAGATAACGAATAATGCCGGGATGCATACCATTTTACATTGTGCAAAAATTTTGATTGGAATATCCAAGATAAAAGAAAACCTATCAAAATTTGTGTGAATTAAATTCGCAGATGGTCATTTACCCACTCATCTCACGTACCATAATTGTATGTCATTCTAATCAGTAATAAAAACAAATATACTTTTAACCAGGAATTAATTCTTACTTCTGTCGCTTCCGGGTTCAATTAATTCCTTACTCAATGGTTATAAATTATCAGTATACTGCTGTAAGGCATAATAACGATAGGAAGGCCACTTTGATTGTTGAACACCAGTTTCTGGTTTATATTGTATGCAAACTGATAATGTAAAAATATTGGAATAGTAATATGAAAGAAAATATTTCTGTATCAATTCCTGGAATATTACTATATATTACCCAGTTTTGACGTTTGTTTAAGCTAAATGGAGGAACTGAGATGATACATGCAACGTTCATCATAGGCCATTATTTTATTTCGAAGTTATTTCTTTCCTTTTTATTCATTTGTTGACTGTTTCAACGAAATCCTCATTTCATTCATCGATTCAAATGTAAATTTGATAAACTGCTCGCTGTAAGGCATAATAACGATAGGAAGGAACGAAAAGACACAAAATGACGATCGTACCTTGCAAGTGTATTAAACATAATCGACTTCTCTAACATTTGTTTCATCTTCCATTTTCATCGTTTGTTACTATACTACTTTATTCTGTGAAAAGCTTGAAAATAATCAATGATGAAATATTAAGCAATAATTTGCCTTAAATAAAGTATGTGATATATTTTCTCTATAACATACAGCACACAAAAATCACAAAAATAACTCTTATTTCATGCCTATGGCAGATTCGCCTAAATATGACGGCGCCATGCCAGAAGAGCGCGTATAATAAAAATGTGTTACTCGTAATTCGTCGATATTAATTATAAATGTTTACAAAAAAAATGACAGTGCAGAAGGCAGGGAAAAAGGAGGAAGTGGCGAAAAGGATGGATACGACAATAAACGATAATGAGGAATATGTCGAATACCTTTTCAGCTTCAGCAAAAAATCCATTACTTTTAGTTCCACGATTTTAATATTACATTGAACAGAGGAGGAAATTAGAAGTACTGATTATTGCTGAACTGTGAGAAACTTTTATTCAGGAAGTAAAAGCAACTTTTCACTATGAATAATGCTTACTGATAGGATAACATCGAAATATCGAAATCGAAACTTATACCATAATGGAAGAGCAATGAGACACGTATAGTTTCGTCATTTCCGTCTATTTATTATTCAAGTTTAAACTCTTATTATATGAATATGTTTTCAGAGAATGCAACCCACACTAATATAGTATGACGAGCTATCATACTCAAATAGAATAATACGAGAATCTTGCTGCTTCACGGATGAAAAAAAAAACAAACATATCGGCAGAACAGGATTTGCTATCTACATGAAGCTTAAGTTAACCGAGGTAATGAATGGATTTTGACTGACCACATTGACAAATGAGTTTTAAGAAGTTTAAAAAATTGAATTAAATAGAGAAAACTGGTTCAAGACTGATTAAACTTCCAAAAGAGAAAAAAGAAACTTGTTTAATTTAAGTCACTACAGATAAATATACTACGATTTGCTTGATACGGTGGCTTTACTCGATCTGATATTTTAAGAAATTTGTGAGAGTATGGTTGCCAGTGATCTTATTTCAGAGAAAGCCTACATTTTTATGTGAGATTTCGCTTTTGAACTCTATAAACTAAGAAATACATGTTATGATACAACTTGTGAATATCATCAAAACAATAAGCTAAAAAACAATCTTAGGCGGATTTGATACTGGGAAGATATAAGACTATAGCAGCCCGTTCGAACTCATGAACTTATTTAGCGGTGAAGCTGCATAGTTTATTAAGCTGACGACCAATATCGTAATCAGAAGTACATTAATTTTGATTTCAAAATATGAGAAAAACGCCTGACTATAAATCACATTAAAGATAACACAAACCTTGTAGGTGAATTATTTTCAAGCATCAAAAACTTTAACTTAATCATCTTGAACTAAAAATTCTAAATGGACAATTTAAATGAACAAAGCTGAAATTTTATCAACATCACTTTGGTATAATCAAAGCTATGATATGAATAACCAAAAATCCCTCTTCCAAAAAAGGTACTGATTAGTCTTAGAAAAAAATTTAGGTTCTTTATTTTTTTTCCAAATATCACCGTTTTGATATACCTATAAAATATCTTGCGGATTAAATTCATTTTAATTCTATGCTCAATGAGCTCAAACTCCCAGATATTGATTTCTTGTGATTCCTCAGTTTTCGCCTTGTCCTTAAGGGCTAAGACACCTTTCAGACATGAAATTTTTCTTGAAAATGCAAAAAAAAAAATGATGGAGATTGTGCAGAATTTAGGCGCATTCAACACACTGTTTGTTGTACGCAGTAATAGAAACCAATCTTCGATTTTGTATTTGACGTGTTCTGCAAATAAAATGAGTTGATAATATTGAGATGAAAAATGAGGAAGCCCGATATTGTGACAAATAAGATCGATTTTAGAATAATAACAAATTTTGTTTTATGAACCAAAAGATAATAATAAGAAGTTATATCCTTTCCTGACAAAGCAACATTTATCACATTCAATTACGAAAAATTCCTGGCTTCATCACTAAAATTTTTTGTTGAAGTTAGATTAGTGTAAAATCACTTATATGAAAATATTGTTGACTGTACCAGTAAGTATTTCAATGTACAGATTGACATCTCCTCTTCTTGCATCATAACAATCCTGCGTCAATTCTACTAACTAAATTTCAGTTAACTTTCATTAGATACATTTGAACTATTCTCATTTAGTATAATTTCTTGATAATTATATTAATGTACTTTATGTTCATTTCCGGTTTTATGATGTAATCAGTATGTCTCCCTCTTTCTTCATTATCAGATATTTTGTATTTGGATAAATAAATATGTACCATTTTTTGTTGTTTGTTTATAGTCTTGGACAAGTTTTTTCGGGTTGTATTAGTTGCGTAATTTTAGGCGGGCTACCACAAGAACATTTGTAGGAACATATAAATCTATGGATAAGTGAAGTGACTTAAAAGAGGAATACTCTAAATGTTTGCTTTTTTTCTTTGACCTCTCTTTGTAAGCATTTCTTCTAGAAGAGACAGGAAATTTTTGAAATTATTTGGAACTTTCATCTGAACGTAGGATTTGTTTGACAGGAATAATAGTACTATGCTTACTTATATTTCAGTATTCATGGGTACTCGCAGTGAGATAGATCAGCATTGGTGATGAAATAATGATTATTTTATCAGTCTATACTGATTACACATCACGCGCTCTTGTA